CACTTTAAGACTCCTTAAAGTGTTCACTTTAAGACTCCTTAACGTGTTCACTTTAAGACTCCTTAACGTGTTCTCTTTAAGACTCCTTAACGTGTTCACTTTAAGACTCCTTAAAGTGTTCACTTTAAGACTCCTTGCGTGTTCACTTTAAGACTCCTTAACGTGTTCACTTTAAGACTCCTTGCGTGTTCACTTTAAGACTCCTTAACGTGTTCACTTTAAGACTCCTTGCGTGTTCACTTTAAGACTCCTTAACGTGTTCACTTTAAGACTCCTTAACGTGTTCACTTTAAGACTCCTTAAAGTGTTCACTTTAAGACTCCTTGCGTGTTCAGTTTAAGACTCCTTAAAGTGTTCACTTTTAGAACACCTTAAAGCGTTCACTTTAAGACTCCTTAACGTGTTCACTTTAAGACTCCTTAACGTGTTCACTTTATAAGACTCCTTAACGTGTTCACTTTAAGACTCCTTAACGTGTTCACTTTAAGACTCCTTGCGTGTTCACTCTAAGACTCCTTGCGTGTTCACTTTAAGACTCCTTAACGTGTTCACTTTAAGACTCCTTGCGTGTTCACTTTAAGACTCCTTAACGTGTTCACTTTAGACTCCTTGCGTGTTCACTTTAAGACTCCTTAACGTGTTCACTTTAAGACTCCTTGCGTGTTCACTTTAAGACTCCTTAACGTGTTCACTTTAAGACTCCTTAAAGTGTTCACTTTAGGACTCCTTAATGTGAACACGTTAAGACTCCTTAAAGTGTTCACTTTAAGACTCCTTAAAGTGTTCACATTTAGAACACCTTAAAGTGCGCGATTTAGGACTCCTTAAATTGCACATGGTTGGACAAACGATCTTCTGTAATTCTTCCATTAACTTGTGCAGACGCATAATGCACTATGATTCCTTATTGACTTTGTGCTAAATGAGCTACGATAACTGAGTTCATCTAACAAGGAAAATACGTTGTCAATTTTTTTTCAGTACCTTCTTCAAGCGCGACTTTAATACCTCAACCAACTACTGCAACACCAAGCAGTTCAACTGAACCAACCAACATATGGGATAAAGCCATCGACTTGACTACACCCCTGGGAACTTTTGTCATTGTTATAGTCGCCGTGGGTTTGGTTCTTATCCTGCTTATTGCTCTTATCTGTGTCTGTGTAAGTAAATTTCATTTCTGTTATTAAAAGGAGCTACGTCACGATTTTTTTGGTATTACTTTCAATCCCTAAAAAAAAGTGGAAATAAGAAGTAACTATGAAATAATGGTTAATGTTATTGCAAAAAATACTCTAAAACAATGCCCCATCTTTAAGTGTATCTTTGGCTTTGAATGGTCAGGATGGAAACGGATGGCAACTTGACAAATTGGGCCAACTTTTTCAGGTTGACAAAAAACTGATTACTGAAAACAATCTGCTTTGTCTTTCAGTGCAAGTACAGGAGGCTAAAGAAGCGGACTCACTTATTCGACCACATGACAATCAATGACTCTGAATGGATACGGAGCAACGACGATCTGCTTATGTGGGAGCGAAATCTGCGTGCTTCGGAAGTTAAAACCAATAACGGCGTTTCAAACAGACCACTTAACGAAAAACGTTCTTAAATGTTAACGTGCAGTCCCTGGTAAGTAATTAATCAGAATTTTTAAACCTGATTTGAACAGCTCCAGTTTTCAATAGAGTTATGAGAAAGAAGACAAACATTTTTTTCTTTGGTCCTGTAATGTGTGTGTAACGTAATTCACATATTGCATTTTATGAACTCACAGATTTTTAAGATCGTGTAGAATGTACACTTACTCAAGTTGCTATAATATACCTATTGCCCCACTGAAAAAATGTCCCTGTGTCAAACATTGCTTCTAGCTGTCGACAAACAGACTAATTTTTCAGTTACTGTCAATCGTCATCCCTTTGGTACTCGCAAATTAAGGTGGTGAATGTTATGTTATGTTCAGCATTTACATAACCTTAGAGAAGAGGAAAAACTACGAAACAGTGGGTATATGGCGTGATCTAACAATGATCAAATTTGAACCCGTACTGATAAGGAAGAAAGCTTGGTTGGAGATCGGATTTCTTAACTTTAATTTTCTTTCAACGGCTGGCATTGAAACAATGGTTGTATCTGCTATTCAAAATAAAAATAGTTCTTAAGGAAAAATGTAAAAAACCATACAGAAATAAAACCAAGTGCTCATACAGCGCACTCCTGAGCTTCTCGTGACTCAGGGTCCTCAGGGAAATTGCGACATTAAACTCAACTTGTCAGACTATTCTACCCTTCCACACCTCCGAGAAGTTTGGAACTAAGTAAGAATGACAAGGGGTTCTTAACAGGGGGAGAAGTGCGACAATATCCTTACTTTGTCGGACTATTCCACAGTTCCACACCTCTGAGAAGTGTGGAACTAAGAAAAGAATGACAAGGGGTTCATGTCATGACAGGGGGAAAGTGCGACAATATCCTTACTTTGGCGGACTATTCCACACTTCCAGACCTCTGAGAAGTGTAGAACTAAGTAAAGAATGCCAAGGGGTTCATGACTGGGGGAAAAGTGCGACAATATCCTTACTTTGTCGGACTATTCCACACTTCCAGACCTCTGAGAAGTGTGGAACTAAGTAAAGAATGACAAAGGGTTCATGACTGGGGGAAAAGTGCGACAATATCCTTACTTTGTCGGACTTTTCCACACTTCCACACCTCTGAGAAGTGTAGAACTAAGAAAAGAATGACAAAGGGTTCATGACTGGGGGAAAAGTGAGACAATATCCTTACTTTGTCGGACTATTCCACACTTCCACACCTCTGAGAAGTGTAGAACTAAGTAAAGAATGACAAAGGGTTCATGACTGGGGGAAAGTGTGACAATATCCTTAGTTTGTCACACTATTTCACACTTCCAGACCTCTGAGATGTGCGGAACAAAGTAAAGAATGCCAAGGGGTTCATGACTGGGGGAAAAGTGCGACAATATCCTTAGTGTGTCACACTATTCCACACTTGCAGACCTCTGAGAAGTGTGGAACAAAGTAAAGAATGCCAAGGGGTTCATGACTTGGGGAAAAGTGCGACAATATCCTTAGTTTGTCACACTATTCCACACTTCCAGACCTCTGAGAAGTGTGGAACAAAGTAAAGAATGCCAAGGGGTTCATGACTAGGGGAAAAGTGCGACAATATCCTTACTTTGTCGGACTTTTCCACACTTTCACACCTCTGAGAAGTGTGGAACTAAGTAAAGAATGACAAGGGGTTAGTGCCTGTGGGAAAAGTATGACATTATCCTGAGTTTGTCAGACTTTTCCGCACTTCCACACCTCTGAGAAGTGTGGAACTAAGGATGAAAAAGGAAAGTAGGGATCTTGTGGCCAGCACTGGACATTTGTGAAATTATCTGTAGGAGGCTGCTAAATTCCTTCTTGCTGTGGCACTGCATTTTTGGTCCAAAATATGTTATATACATTTTATCAGTGTTTAGTAAGAGGTTGACAGTCTGTGAAAACAAGAAACCACATATTCATTTATTTATTTTCTATAGATCTCATATACAACCGTAAAAGAGACCTTTTCAAGGAAGCCATGAAAATGACAATCTTGTGGAGCACTTAAATTCATGATGTCAGTGACCCTTGAACCTAAACTGAACTTATACTGCTAACTTACAGTTCAAGTGCTTTTTGTTAAACGAGTGGCTATTGTTTCATTTTCTGGTAAATGTTATCGTGAGGTAATTTAAAGTGGTTTTTTTATCTTACGAGGTCACCTTTTTTGTTCAAGTAGTGTTATTTTGCGCAAGGGTTAGATCGGAACGTAGGTACTAGCGCTACAACATTTTACTCACTCGTGCTACATCTAAGTTTGATCTGAGAGCAAGAGCTTATAACCATCAGAGACCTTGGTTTTTTTCAGGTCGTAGAGCATGTTATTTAATCCTGGTATGAGAAAATAGTGAAAAAGCTTCAACAAATATGGAATTAAAGTTTTAGATATTCGGTAGAGCTATTTTATGAAAACAAAAAATTTAAGTACAATTTAATCAACGTTACCTGTGCAAACATTTATACTTATCTTTTTTATCGATTGTGATCCTATACCATTAAACGAAAATTTATAGGTAAGATAACTGTAGCTAGTGATTAAAATAAGTAAGATAGTCTTTGTTAGATTTTTTTTTTTTTAGAGTTAGTATTTTGTACTTATTTACTAAATTATTTGACCGAACGAAATATTGTTAGTCTTACGTACAAAAGTTTACTGTAACTTGTAAATAGTATATTTTATAGACATGATTGGCTGTCATATCAAATACCCAAGGTATCTCTGCCAGTAATAAGTCAGCGGTGTGAAAGGGAGCGGTACTTGAGCCAAGATAGCAAACCAATTGCACTGACTCACCTGACATATATCCATTATACAGTGTACTTAACAGTCTCTAATCATCAGAACTCAGTCAATTTTAATGCTAAGCATTATTTTTTGATTGACCAAGGTCAACCACTCGAGTTCGTCTGGGTTTGTAAACGCATGCAAACTTAATGTGCTGTTATGGTTGTGCACGCGGTAACAGCCGCCCGGTAAACTTAGTTGGAAACCGCCGCGCCGCTCCCTCTGGTAGATCTGGGTTTAAAACCCGGTCTGGCCACCAACTAGGGTCTTAAAAAAGGTGGTAGTATCATGCTGGCTGAGTTTAAGATCTTGACGCCGTCAGTTGAGATGATGGGATCATTGGGCGGTGATGTTAAGCCGTCGACCTTTCTCGTTCATCCTTCCTTTACTAGGAAACGCGATCTTTTTTGTGTCGTTTCAGGTTGGCACAGTGGCCGTACACTCATAATTTTGTAGGCGTTCACAAACTTATTCTCGACCTCGTGTGGACAAAATCAGCACTGCTGAGCAGCTTTGTGTTGGCTCCTTTGTAGCTTTTGTAGAAATGCGCTTTTGATTTCGTACATTTATAATATAATAAACTGCTTTCCAAACACAGTTTATAGTTTCACTACATCATCACAGCCTTTGTTCCACTGAGCAGGATATTCTTTGGTTGAAACACTTCTCTGTGAGCCCTGGAGATAAAATAGAAAAGTTATGTTTTTATTCACATACTTTAAAAAAGGAAAAGCGGGGAGAACAAGGGAAGTGCACTAGTCAGAACACTCGCCTTTCACTCATTTCTTACCAAATCTCGGATGGGACGCCATATTTGGGTTGACTTCGTTATTGGTTCTCTCCCTTGCTCTAAGATGGTGTTCTCCGGGTACTCCGATTTTCCCCCTCCTCAATAACAAAACATTTCCAAATTCCGTTCCTTTGGGGAATGATGGGCGAAGAACCAACTTTGTTGTTGTGCTACCACTAAATCAATATTGATCAGTTTTGAATTATTTGTTAATTTTGCAATGTCAGCCTAGATCGTTGGCAATGATTAGTTAAGAATGAATATTGGCTAGCTGGAAATGGGGAGGTGCATGCATCTTGTCTTATTGATATAGGAATACCTTCACTGCAACCTCTGATGGCGATATTCTGGACTCCTGGTTTGTATATCTGAACTCAGGATTGCCGTTGAAGCTAGTTTCTCGTAATTTCGTTCTGAAAGCTTCGCGTGTTAGGCTTTCGTCGCTTTTGCTTTCTGTTATGTTGTATGTAGTAAGTTCTTCATATGAATCGTCTTTGACGTACTGTCGTTTCTCTTCCATACTTAATATCACCGGCAAGTTTGTTTTGGATCTGGCAGCGGAGTCAGGATACTCGGTGTGAATGTAATTACTCCATCTCGAAAGCTCGTACTTCTTGCTTCGCTTAAATCCGCCACTTCGCCTGGCCAATTTGACCTGAATAAAAAAGAAGTCGGATTAGTTTCAAATTCGGTTGCAATTGTACTTGCCCAACCTATCAATGGCCGCCAAATAAAATGGTTATTTCCCTAAAAGACAACAAAAACCATTAAACGCACTCAACAACAAATTGGAAAATTTGGTTAAATTTCTTTTTACAGTTACTACAATCCCCAAACTTACAGCCGGTAAATCTAAGGCCTTTAACTAACAACATCAAGGCCGCAAAACAAGCATTATAAATACAGTATTATAACACTTTCGTACAAATTTTTGAACAAAATGAGGCTGGTCGAAAGTACTTCAGAAGTCACTCAAACGTAAACCGAGTTTATCGTCTCAAATTTTTCCCATCCACACTCCGTTTTCGGCTTTCCTACGGGTGTTTCTTTTCAAAACTTGTTTAGCGTTGGAATTGGCAAAAATTGCAGTCACTCACTTCTTTTTCAACCCTTGTTACTAATACTTAAAACAAATAACAGGAAAACAATAGAATAGCAGAGTTTAAGGGAATTATTGGAAAAACAATTTTACTTACCGCTAAAATACAGATAATCAGCAATAGTAGGAACACTAAAATACCAGCAACAATGAGAACAAGCACCCACTGCTCCAGAGACTTAGATGATACAGGAGTGGGTACCGAAGCAGTAGTTGTAGCTCTTCTTTCGTTAACCTGCAGGCTTGTTATAGGTACATTCAATACCCCCGTGTTGTTGGCCTCTGTAAGCATCCTCTCTACGGTATTCTCGTCAATGTTGGCATTTTTCCTTACAAACACCAGAAAGTCAACTCCAACGCTACTCTCCCAGAAGCGTAGAACTTGCACAGATAGAAATCCTTCAAGGTTCGTAAACGCCTTACTGATTTCCCTCTTAATTGTAGAGGCAAGAGCCTGGTATTCTGGGGTGTATGTTTTTAGATATCGTAAATTCCAAAGCATCTGTAACACCATGGTTCCTTCAAATTGCTTTGGATCCTCGGGTGGTGGTCCAGTTTGAAAGAAAACAGAAACTGATGACGAGATGGGATGGGAAGATGTTGTAAAAGATTTAGACATATCAAGAATTGTGCTTGATATTTTACCAGAGGAAGTAGGTACAAGTAGTTCCGTAGCGGATTGCGTCCATTGGCTTTTAGATTTGACGGAAAACGTAAAACGTTCTGTGGCAACTGAACCAGACAAAGCAGATGTCTCTCTTGAATACAAGCTTCTTGGGAAGGCTTGATTTTCTATTGTTCTCATTGTTGTCATTTGATCATTCTTCTGAGAAATCCTTAAAGCTGAAGTTGGCCATACGTTAACTTGTGATGATGACATCTCTAACAGAGGAGACGACGATGGGAAATTAGGTCTAGAATCGTTAGAAAAATTGGGGAAAAACTGTAGAGGACTTTGAGTAGTAGCTGGTGCAGTGCTCGACGATTTCAAGGTGTAGCCTGTTGAGGGGCTTGCGCTAACGACAGTTCTTATTGTCCAGCTATCCATGAATGGGATGCTAGACACAGTCTTCCGTGTCACCATAGACACTCTCGCCGTCTGGAGAGTTAAGGAAGGCATTAAAGTAGTTAACATTGTAGACAACTGGGTGCAAAGCGCTTCCGTCGACGTTTGACTGGTACGTTTTAAGGTGTTTTTCGTTTTCAGGGTAAAACTGAGTGCTTCACGAGGTGTGGTTGTACTTGGAATTATGGACTCTAAGGAAATTTTCCCTGTTGAAGACGACGCTAAAGATGTTAAGCTTTTCCTCACGCGACTTGGATATGTCGATAGTAGTTGAGAGCTTTCCACCGTGGTAAGCTTCAACGTAGGCATACGAATAGTGTCATCAATATTTAAGGTGCCACTGGCTATAATTTGTCCGTTAAAAAATTCCCGAGATGAGTCGTCAGTGTGACCATAGAAGTTCTGCACAGAGAGTGTGTTTGCAGTCTTGTGTTTTAAAGATGACCCCACCGATGTTTGTTGTTTTACGCGACTGCTTGTTTTATTTACGGAAGGAAACGTTCTTAAGCTTAAGGTGTTTTTAACCGCTGAGCTGAGGAATGTAATCGCCTGGTGAGGAGGGTCAGTTGACCTAGAAAAATCGTTGCTGGTTGTAAGGAAAGGAAGAAATGTTCGCAAGCCCGACGAAGTTATGGAGTTTACGTTATTACTTTTAACTACTGATGATATTTTAAATGGTCTGGTCTGACTTGCACTTTCACGGTATAATTCTCTCTTAAACGGTGGAGTAAATTTGGTCTGTACGGTGTAGTAAATACTGGAAGGACTTACAAGGATAGACGTAGGTGAGATCGCCCATTGGGAAGTTTCCGATGTGATCCACAAAGATTGGCTGGATGAGTCCTTGGAAAGGGTGCGTCTGGTTGATACAATTGTTATATGTGGCGTAAAAGTCCGTTCACTTACTGGCTGAATTGTTGATGAAATTATATGAGACGCATATGTGGTGGTCGATTGTCTTCTTGAGGAGTATTCAAAAACACTTGCAGAAACATGAGAAAAGCTATTTTCTCGACGTCTGCTTGAAGTGAACCAACCCGTAGAACGTTTCCATTTGGAAATCGTGGAGGAGACGACCGTTCTCGACGTGATTGTCTCATTCTGCAAGAAAGGTGACGTCGAGAACGTCCTTGTGAAATTTCGAGAAGCCGAAGTACTTGTTCTCGGAGCACTCAGGTCTGTGGCAACGATGGTTGCTTCGAAAGTCTTGAAAGAAGAGCTCAGGAGTATTCTGGATGTTTCAATGTAGGGGGTTTTCACGGGTGAAACTAAGGTACCTGTAACGGCCTGAGAACGAGAGATAGTCGTCCTTGGGAAATTGAACTCTGAAGAAACGTCTATTGGAGATGTCGTAAAGGGTTTCAATTTGGTTGTGGGCAAAATCGACTTGAAGCTGCTAACAAAGATCCTCGAGAAGGCGTAAACATCCGCGTAATTTCCTGTAGATTTGTAAAGTGGGTGAAGTGAAGTAATGGTATTCAAAGTTGATGTACTTTGGACCAGAAGCACAGATCTTTCAAGTATCTCGCTACTATGAGAGCTTGCAAAACTTGTTCTTTCAGATATAATGTTTTCAGAATCAGCCATTACCTGAAGAGAGATCGTCCTGCTTTGGATCATGAACAAAGATGACTGTTGCACTGTCCTGTTGTGGAAAAGGAAACCACTTGCAGTATCGATTCCTGAGAAAAAGGCCGAAAGTCTGAAAGTAGTTGAAGACCGAATTACGTCTGTCATGGATGAACTGTGATCAAAAGGATAGGATGTGCCTATAGTATTGTTAGTAGTTGCCCTTTTAGTCGTTGTTAGGACATCACTATTTATGGAAGAAGGCAGCCTCTCTTTAGCCATCGAAATTTTGTTTTCGAAAAGGGACGAAAGCAAACCCCAAATTGCTCTAGTTTTGGAGATGTCGTCAACTACAGAGAAAGCTGCAGAACTTGATCTCTCGAACGAGCTAATTGTTTTAACAATCCTTGGCGTAGGTACCCGAGATACCATAATTGTGCTGTTATAAGTTAAAGTAACCTTTTTTCTTGAGGTGTAAAGGTCAGGAGAAAAAGCTGTTCCTTCAGGAAATTCTGCTGACGAAAAACTGAGTAGCGAAAACGTTTTACTTCGAGCAAGTGGTGTAGACAATGCCAAAGTTGTAGTGCCATATGAAATGTTAACACTTGTAACTGAAACATCTGTTTGTGAAGTCATGGTTGAAGGGAGCATTTGTATGGTGCGTGACAACAACACTGTGGTGTTATTGTGAGATGGTGCAACATTCTTTTCACTTCGTCTTACGTCAGGGCTTTGTCCTGCAACACGGGTCGAAGTTGTAGCAGCCAGTAACGGTTGGTCCGAGTTTGGCCTACCACTAAGGGATGAACCCGATGATAATGTTGCTTCAATCCTGATAAATGCAGGCGAAGTGGTCAAGTGCGAAAACATTTTACTTGGCGCAAGTGGTGTGAACAATACCAAATTTGTAGCGCTAAATGAAATTCCAACACTTGTTACTGAGGCGCTTGTTTTCGACGTCATGGTAGAAGAGACCCTCTGTACCGTACGTGATAAAAAAACTGTGGTGTTATGGGATAGTCCAACATTCTTTACGCCTTTGCTTACCTCAGAGCTTTGTCCTGCAACACGATTCGTAGTTGTAGCAGTCAGTAAGAAATGGCCCGAGTTTGACTTGCCACTGAAAGATAACTCCGTTGGTAATGTTGCTACAGTCCTGATAGATGTAAGCGAAATAGTCAACTTTGCAGACTCGTTGACAGCCGATGACCCGTTTGTAACAGAAAAACTTGTAGTGATACCTGTCGAAACGAGGTAAGGAGTTATTCACTCTTGTATATTATTGAGAGGAAGAATTCACTTTCATTTACACTTGTGTATGTGATGACCCTAGCTCTTTCAAGATTACACACCTTTTTTGTTCGAGTGAGCCTTAAAATGGTCTTAAGGTCATTAAAGCAATGGGGCTTAGTGCTACAGGGAACGAATAACATCACGAGCTTTCAAGAGCTGCTAGCAATAGTTCATATAAACCTGCCTTCGTTTTATCTAAAGATTGTAAAATGTGATTGGTTCTATTCTTGACCACTTATTTCCCTGCACCTTCTCCAGTTGCTCTTGAATTGCCAGTCTGATATCGTTTAAAACTAGTTTGTTTTGCATTGTGAAACAACAAGATATGTCTCTTCTGTTCTTATTGTAGTTTACAAACATCTTAAAGTTTCACTAGAAACTTCTCAAGAGAGAAACTATGGTCATCTCTTGTATTTATTGTTTATTATTCAGTTAATTTAAAAATAAACGATTAACTAAAAATTTTCGACTTTCGCCGAGGTATTATGATAATCAGAGGAAATGAGAGGAAAGTTCATGTCACAAAAGTTGCCATAGTGGTGATGAGAAATTATTTTCTTAAGAATTAAAAGCAAAGCAGAAGTGGAGATATGAGATCATCGACGATAGAAATATGAATGTTTTCAATCACAAAATAATGCTTTCAAACCTAGCATTATTTAACATTCATAAAGATTGTATTTTTCGCTTAACTTATTAACTTAAGCACTCTATATTATTTGCCCTTTAAATGTTTGGGTACAGATCAAATATTGAAGAAAATGACAAGTTGTTTCAAGTTAATTTTTTTTCCTCAGCGCGTCAGCAGAGTTAGGCATGGGGTTTCAAAGCTTATTGAATCGCAACGCAACGAGTCACAACAAACGAATGGAAAGACGACGTACCTATAACTGTGGGGATAATTCCCCAGACAATAGAAGGGAAAATCCAAGAGAAATACATCGGGCTACAAGCTATCGTCTCATTTTCATAATGAATGATTTTATATCCTTCCAAAGATATCCTTTGTGTTGATTTGTAACGCTGTCTTCGTTGAGGCCTTCACCGGACAAATCCATCAATAAATAATTGACAATCTTAACAAAAAATTTCGACACTCATCGTTGCATTGTGCATAACGCACCTGCCTATCAGTGCGAGTAACTTTAACAAAAAGACTTGTTTTTTTGTGGAATAGTCTTCGCCAAATTCTTTAAGTGAATGTTAAAACAATCTTTTACTATGCCGAAAGTACATGTAAATGGGACTCAATGTCGACTTAAAATAAAATTAACAAGGAACGGACGAGAAAGAGATTTACAAGTTTTTTAAGAAAATAGGAGATGAAAATCGCATCAATCGCGAATAATGAATAAAGTCATATGTCACAGTGTGTGGTACTCAAGAAGATGACTGACTCCCACACCCATTAATTAGGGCATCAGGTTAAGTGTCCCGTAAAAGTGACATTACTGAGGATATCTTTTGATCTAATTTCGTAAAAACAATTACCATTGCCCGTAAAGTGGTGTTATTGTTTTTTTTTTCAAATTGATCTGGAACAGATTTGGCACGAATAAGCTAAGAACGGTCTTTATTCTATAACAGCACTTATTTATGTAGTTCCCGCTGTAAGCCAAGTATAAGTTAAATTAACTCACTTGATAACATTTGATAATGTTCCTTTGAATCCGTCGTTGGTGGAGGCGTATGTGTACGAGTGTTACAGAACATGACATCTTTGAAAACGCACGTGATAGTCCTTTGCTTGGTTTTTGCAATGTTCCCTATCACTTGCACCGTTGTTTTTGAAAGCTGTACAGGTACCTCTGTTTTTGCTTCCCCTAGGGTTGTCGTTTTTGGTTTTGTCATTGTTGTTTCTGTTAGTGTTAATGCTTCTGCTCGTGTTGTTGATGGTGTATTTATGATTTCTCTTGGGGGTGTTCGTAATGCAGTTGTTGCTGTTACTGGTGTTGTCGATACTGTCGCTGTCGTTGCCTCTGGCGGGGTAGTAATTGATTCAGTTGCTGCTTCTGTTGGCGTCGGTATTGATGCTGTTACTGACGTTGTTGTTGCTTCTGCTGGTATCGCTATTGTGGCTGTTGTGGGTATTGCTTCTACTGGGATTGATATTAAATCAGATGTTGATACAGTTGTTGCTTCTGCTGGTGGTATTGTTGTTGATGCTATCGTTGTTGATGCTATCGTTGTTCCTGCTATTATTATTGTTGATGCTTTTGTTGTTTCTGCTGGTGTTGTTGTTGATGCTGTTGTTGCTTCTGCTGTTATTGTTGTTGATGCAGTTGTTGCTTCTGCCGGTGTTGTTGTCGATGCAGTTGATGCTTCTACTAGTGTTGTTGTTGATGAAATTGTTGTTTTTACTGGTGTTGTTGTTGATAAAGTTGTTGCTTCTACTGGTATTGTTGTTGATGCAGTTGTTGTTTCTTTTGGTATTGTTTTTGATGTAGTTGTTGCTTCTGCCGGTGTTGTTGTTGATGCCGTTGTTGCTTCTGCTGTTATTGTTGTTGATGCAGTTGTTGTTTCTTTTGGTATTGTTTTTGATGTAGTTGTTGCTTCTGTCGGTGTTGTTGTTGATGCCGTTGTTGCTTCTGCTGGTATTGTTGTCGATACAGTTGTTGCTTCTGCTGGTGTTGTTGTTGATGCTGTCGTTGCTTCTGCTGTTATTGTTGTTGATGCCGTTGTTGCTTCTGGTGGTATTGTTGTCGATACAGTTGTTGCTTCTGCTGTTGTTGTTGTTGATAAAGTTGTTGCTTCTGCTGGTATTGTTGTCGATGCAGTTGATGCTTTTGCTGGTGTTTTTGTTGATGCCGTTGTTGCTTTTGTTGTTGGTGTTGTTGATGCTGTTGTTCTTGCTTCTGCTGGTGTTGATGACACTGATGTTGCTTCTGATGGTATTTCTGTTGATACAGTTGTTTCTGCTGTTATTGTTGTTGATGTAGTTGTTTCTTCTGTTGGTCTTGTTGTTGATATAGTTGTTGCTTCTGCTGGTGTTGTTGTTAATAAAGTTGTTGCTTCCGCTGGCATTGTTGTTGATACAGTTGTTGCTTCGGCTGGTGTTGTTGTTGATGCAGTTGTTGCTTCTGCTGGTGTTGTTGATAAAGTTGTTGTTTCTGCTTGTGTTGTTATTGGTGCTGTTGCTATTATCACTTCTGCTGGTGTTGTTATTGATGGTGATACTGTTGCTATTGTCACTTTTGCTGGTGTTGTTATTGATGTTGATGCAGTTGTTGCTTTTGTTGTTGGTGTTGTTGATGCTGTTGTTCTTGCTTCTGCTGCTGTTGTTGACACCGTTGTTGCTTCTGATGGTATTTCGGTTGATACAGTTGTTGTTTCTGCTGTTATTGTTGTCCATACAGTTGTTGCTTCTGCTTGTGTTGTTATTGATACTGTTGCTTTTGTTTCTGCTGTTGTCGTTGCTGATGTTGTTGTGTCTACTGTTGACGTTGCTGTTGCCATTGTAGTTGCGACTGCTGCTGCTTCCTCTCGGCTTGTTATAGTTGCTTTTGCTTTCGCTATTACTTTTGTTGTTATTGCTCCAACTGGTGTTGGTTTCGTTGTTGTTGTTCGTGCCACTGTTGTTATCAATACTGTTGCAGTGTCTGCCCCTGCTGATGTTGTTATTGATGGTGTAGCAGTCATCACTTCTACAGGCGTTGATATTGATGCTGTTTTTTGTGGTGGTGGTGTTGCTGTTGCTGCTGTTGATGATGGTGTAGGTTTTATAACTTCTGCTGGTGTTGTTACTGATGCTATTGTTGTTACTCCTGTCGTTTTTGCTGTCGCTATTGCATTTGGGTCTTTTGCTGTTGTTATTGTTCCCTCCGTTGGGTTTGTTTTCGATGCTTTTGGTCTGGTTACCACTGTTGTTACTGCTGGTGTTGGTTTCGTTATCGTGGATATTGCTACAGTTGTTATTACTGTTGCTTTGTTTACTTTTGTTGATGTTGTCATTGATGGGGTGGCTATTGTCACTTCTACTGGTGTTGTAATTGATGCTTTTGTTGTTGTCGCAGCTTTTTTCGATGCCAATGTTGTTTCTTGTGCTGGAAGTGTTTTTGCTGTTGCTGTTGTTGCTTCCTGTGGTGTTGTTGTTGATGTTGTGGCTATTATTACTTCTGCTGTTGTTGTTGTTTCTGCTGTTGTCGATGCTGACGTCGTTGAGTCTGCTGGTGATGTTGCTGTCGCTACTTCAGTTGTCTCTGCTCGTATTGTTATTATTGCATTTGATATTTTTCTCGTTATTACTTTTGTTGTTACTGTCACTGCTGGTTTTGTTGTTGCTGTCACTGTTAATGTAATTACTGTTACTGTGTTTGCTTCTGCTGATGTTGTTATTGATGGTGTAGCTATTGTCACTTCTACTGGTGTTGTAATTGCTGTTGTCGCCACCTTTTGCGATGCTAATGCTGTTTGTTCTGTTAGTGTTGATGTTGTTGCGTCTGTCGTCGTTGTTGTTGCTGCTGTTGCTTCTGTTGATGTTGTTGTTGTCTCCGGAGGCTCTGCTTTTGTGATTGTTGCTGCCGTTGCTGTTGACACTGCTGTAACCACTGTCAGTAAAGCGGCTACAGTTCCTGATGTTACTTCCTTTGAAGAGGTTTTTGTTGTTAATTCAGGGACTGTTCCTTCTGCCATCATCCTTCCTTTTGTTATCACCGTTATTGCTGTTTCTGTCGATGCCGCCTGTATTGTTGCTTTTGCTGCTACTGTTGTTGTTGCTGCTGCTCCTTTTGTGGTAATTGCCACTGCTGTTCCTGTTTCTGCAAAAGCAGCAAATTCTGTCGTTGTTGTTGCCGCTGCTTCAGATGTTTTCGCAACTATGTTCTTTATCGTTGGTTGTGTTGCCATTACCGCTGTTGTTTTTGGTGTAACTGTCGTAGTTGTTGTTGATGCTGCTGCTGCCGCTGTAACAACAGAAGTAGCAAACTTTGTAGCTTCTGTTGTTATTGTAGTCGTTGTTTTTGTTGCTAGTACTGCTTCTTCTATAGTTGTTTTTTGTTTTTCTTCTGCCTTGTCTGTTGTTGCTGTCAATACTGCTAAATTTCTTGTTTTTGTTGCTAACGCTGTTCTTGTTGCCGCTGCTTTAGTTGTGGCTGCTACTACCATTGTTGCTGCTGCTGTTGTTGTTGTTGCTGTTGCTATTGGTGTGGCGGCTATTTCCATCAATGCTGTTGTTGTTTCTGCCGTTTTTGGCGAGGCTGTTACTCCCATTGTACCTGTTGTTGTTATTGTTCCTAATTTTATTGTTAGTTTTCCCGATGCTTTTGTCGTTGTCACTACTGCTACGGCTGTTTCCTTTGTTGCTACTACTGCTGCTCTTATTGGAGGGTTTGATACTCCTGTTCTCGTTGCTGTCGTTGCCGCTAGAATTTTTGTTAATTTTGCTGATACTTCAATCTCTGCAACCAATGTTTGTCTCGTTGTAACAGAATAATTTGAAAAGGCGGTGTTTGTATCTTGTTTCTTCTCTGTAGACTTCCCATCCCTTGACATAGTTGAAATCATGTGATCTGTTGTACCATCCACTGATAGAAGGGGACTTTGACTAGAGATATAAATAGTCTGATAATTATTCGGATTTAAATACCAACGAGAAGTGAAGTTGGTCAGCTTGCCTGTGTCTACTTGATGACTGTGTGAGGCAATCAGTGTCGTAGAAAACCAAGAAGGCTTTTGGGAAAATGATGCCCTGTTTATCACAAAGGAAGTTCTACTTGCCCCTATTAAAAATGGAGCAAATATCAAGTTAACACATTATTCTGGTTGGGTAAAGTATCAAGATTTTCCAGGTGTCATTTCCAAATGTAAGATATAGATGTCGAAATGAAAAGTTAGCAGGCGAATTAATTTGAGTGATTGATAATAAGATATATACCGTAACGTATGAGATGGTTACTTTAAATTAGGATGCTCTGCTAAAATTTCACAAAGAAAGTTCTGACAGTTTTAATTTGGCATAAACCTTTTTCACTTTAGAGGTTCCACAAAATCTGGAGTGTATGTTAAGACGTTTGTCATAGGAGGAGAAGAGGTGAAAAACAACATGTGGGAACTATCGTATGTCACGCAACTTAGCCAAATCCAGTCACTCTAAACTAGCCACCAGAACCGAATGAAACATATAAATAACCTCCTAAAACGGAAAGGAATATAGGGATGGGCAAAATTGATGATTATAACGGATTACAATGAGGGTTTTGGAACATTGTTCATCCTGTCAGATTTATAAAACTAAGATAATATGCGCGTTCTGATTGGTTAGAAGCCTATTGTTTATTTTGCCGGTAAAGTCATAGAAAACTTTAAGTTATTTTATAAAAGTAATAGACCACACTTTCTATGGGTTTTCCAGCGTGATAACCCACATGGGATGTAATGGGAGAACACACGAAAAGCTTGTAAATCACCAGCCCACTATTGCTTAAATATTTTTTATTGATGAGAAACGTTATTAACGTTGGATTCCATAACAAGAAATGGCAAAAATAAGTGGAAACTATTAAAAAAAAGTTAGTAAATAATTTTACCTGAGATCATTTTGTACCCGTATTACACATATCCCACTTATATATTTGCCAAAATGTGTAGTAATAGTAATAAGGACATTGATAAACTGGTGGGGTTCCAAAAAAGCCTGGATATTTTACCTAAAACTACTACTTAACAAGGAGACGTCCATCTGAAGGTGCTTTTAAATTCTTTACGAAGTTAGAATGACTTGAACAAACTGAAGACATCAAACCAATGTAAATGCTGGGACGTCTCTCATCAAAAGAAAGCAGATCATATAAAAATGGAAATTCTATAATTAACACTGACAGAATTTCATTCTGACTTATAGCAGTTCTTACTCGATCAAATCACATTCTCGTTACAAGCATCTAATTTTGATGAAAGAAAACTAGCAGTTTTAAAGACTTTCATCTCTCTCTAGTTTGATAATCTTGAATGACATCCATTTCAAAAGTAAATAATACTTTATAGACCTGGCTTATTATCTTAAATGACAATCACAACAAAAGGAAGTCTTACCTAAAACTGTGGGGAAAATATCCAAAACAATCGCAGTCAAGATCCATATGCAAAGCTTTAAAAGTGAGACATACATCTCAGTGGAGTAAAATATACTGTTTGCAAATGCACAAAATTTCCAGATATTTGGCACACATCTCCTTCCGCACTAACCTCCGTTAATTTCACACCGAACAAAAAGTCGCTATCGCTTAATGAATAATTGAGGATTCTAAAAACTGGAGTTTTGTACGATCCACCTGCCTTGCAATTTAATAGCAACCATAAAAAATAATTTATGTCCTTTTATGGAAAAGAACTACAAAGTCGGCTGTCATGGAGACAATGGAAACAGGATATGTCGGATAAAATTACGAAGAATGTTATTGATGAGTGCAATACTCATACTATGTGTCTAGCAGAAACGTTTCCTGAGGAAAAAACCAAAACAGAGCAAAACGGAAAAAACGGAAACCAAAGATCAACAATCGTTCGGGAATTTTGGTTTCAACGTTTCATTTTTCGTAAGTATAATTAACTCATCATGGGTACCAGGTTTCACCAAGGGTAAGAGACGTGACAAAACGTCTGGATAAAACCCCATTTTTAATTGTTTCCTTTATTTTCGCGCTAATAAATGACGTCATGACGTTGGAAGGTGTAGGTCAACATGTGCGCCGCAAACTTGTGGGCTGGAAACGTTATAATAGAACTTTCCAATAAGGTGATCATAACAATTTGCTACTGAAACATTATTTTCAGTAATTTTTAGAGAAATGTTACTTAAGTTGGAAAGAGGACTAGTGGTTATTGCAGTCAACTAACCAACTTTACAGCTATACCATTACGTTGAGGGTAGGAAACCACCATCGCTCCTTGGTAAGACGAAATTATAAACATAAGGCTTTTCGAGTCTAAATGTTAGTTACTCAGTAATATTGAGAAAAAATAGAAGGAAGGTATTCATCACGTTAGCTGTAAGGAAAAGAGACAAAAAGGCCAACACATCCAATGGGCCTACATTGTCAATGTTCCAGGATCCTCATAGTATTAATAATCGTCACCAGCAGCAGCAGCATGAAGATGTTGAACACAGTTCACTATGCATCTGGGATCCAAAACCCTACATATATTTCACTGACATTATAAAACTTATCAAACTACTCTATCCTACCCTCAACGTAATGGTATAGCTGTAAAGTTGTTAGTTGACTGCAATAACCTCTAGTGCTCTTTCCAACTTAAGTAAAATTTCTCTAAAAATTACTGAAAACAATGTTTCAGTAGCAAATCGTTACTACTCTGGTTGAAGTTGGATTCCCGGCGGGAGCAACGTTCACGGTCTTTAAATCAGAGAGGAGAAAGTGCTTTCTTTTACATTTACAAATTGTAGATTCTTTTACATCTACAAATAGTCATTTCGGATAGGTATCGTAAATGCTTGACGAACCATTAGGCCACCATTAGGGCTGTAAAAAAGTGTCTGGCAGTGACGACCTCCTTTAGTGTCTATGCCAAAGTTACGTTAGAGGGCATTCGCATCTCAATCACGACTTCATTACACTTGACACTGAACCACAAGCTGTTTAACAATATGGCACATGTCTAGTGTTATAAATTATCCCTGAAAAGTTCCGAGGGGGTTGGTGAGTAATAGGGCATTGACATTTGTGTCTCTACTTCGAGCTTAGATTTTATTTCAGCGTGCTGGTGATTGACAGTTCTGATTGGCATGAATAATAAACGATCTCGTGCGAAATTAGGTTGAATGTTGCATGTTCGTTAACAGTTGTGTTTGTAATGCTGCGAGATCTCAGTGTTAAAGTTTATCCGTCTAATGGGCAAGTCAAGCTGTTACAGTGAACATTAACATCCCTACTCAAAAATGAATATTTATTTGTTACTTTTCAGTTTTTTACATTAATTTAAGTTCATTTATGTAACTGTTTTCCAATTTCACTGAATCAAAGCTGAATAGAAGAACAAAACATATTCAAAAGTACAACCCTCAATCTTTTAACTTTTGTACACACAAACCAAGTCGTCCGGCCTCCAGTTGTGGAGAGGTGATTCCCAAATGTTACCTGTTGTGGGAAGTTTCAAACAATGACTTGGGTGTAGCCAAGCTCAGCTATTTGAAAGCGTTAAATTATATTAAAAATAAAATGTTTTCCTGTTTCAGATCATGTGACGTTACCCCAGAAAACTGTTTCTTTTAAATGTCAGCCTATCCAATTGAATACGTATGCATAATTTTAAGAAAATACAAATTAAAGGAAAACTTCCTTGAGAACATGAGGTGGTCTGAACTTGAAAAACAAAACATAAAGGCCAAAAAGAATAGTAACCAATTCGCTACAAGCCGCACAAAGTAATGAGTTGTTAAGTATACGTTAAGTATACTTTATGTTAAATCAAGCCTAAAATAATAACTTTTTCAATAACTTCAAGAAAACGCAAATATTATCTTTTTATTAGAGAGGTTTAATAACAGCAATAAACAAAAACAAGAACAGGTGATGGTAGTATTTGCCACTGGTGGCCCGCCTTAATCTTCCATCTAGTCTAATCCACGAAAAAATCTATGAAGATGAAATAAAAACGTCCGTTAATAAATAAACAAACGAATGAGTGAGTGAACGGTAACTAACCTTAATACTAAAGACCTTTAAGGACGTTGCCTTTACGGAATGTTTTTTTCTATAGAAAATCAGTTATTTTTTTATGAACTATGAATTCAAAATCTATAACTGAAAAAGGTTTGTTAGACCTGTTGACATTTTTCGAATAATCATTGGGATTTTTAATATTGTTGCCAAATGAAAGTGAAACAATACACAGCAGTACTGAGATTTGAAGCCTTAAAAACTACATGTTTGAACGTGTGTCTTACAATGTTCTGATGTTCCAACCCTATGATGGCAATTGTGATGTATTTTATATTCGGAAATATGACTTCAGTGAACCCCTCCCGTGCTCCGAGCTTTTTCAAATAGTAAAGACTAAGTACAATATTACAGCGTGATTGTTGTTTACTTTCCTTTTTTGTTTGTTCGTTTGCTTTGTGACATGCGTACACAGTTGTGTGTAATTCTGTGTCACCAATTTTCCATCCACACCCAAAATCAGCACACAGCACAAAAGCATCTGCTTTTGTTTACACACTTGTACTTCATTTGTTTTGTTTTTTTCTTTTTACTCAGATGAGCTTTTGTTATGTTGAGAAGCGAAAAGAATTCATGACTTGAATTGCCTTTTTTCGTTGATTAAAGTGTGTCCGATCCAAAAACACTGGAATGTATCCAGCACCATTCATCTCCACTTCGGTGAATAATTGTGAGACCTAACAAACCTGATAACAACTTACAATGTAATTGTTGATTCTTCATTCTGCTAATGTCGTTCTCGTGTTTTTCTGCGATGTTAAGGACCAACTACCATCAATAACTACCATCTCACTTCGTCTTCGTCTCATTGGGTGCTGGTTATCTTTACGTCTGTATAACACCTACAACAAGAGAGAGAATTGTTTTACGCCCCAGGAACAGAGTAGTTCACTAACACCAAGTGACCAGCTTTTTACCTACTCACTTATAACAGTGTCCAGGGAAGTTTGAATTTCAAGTATAAAAGAAAAACTTCATGCCTCAATCATATTACTTGTCAAAACAAGGCAATGAAGTAAACTACTTGTGTAGAGACAAAGTGCAGCCAAACAAATAATAACCGTATCAAATTAAGGTACAGAATAAAAATAAAGCTAACAGTTCTTATCACCTTTAACAGTTCCATTATAGTGTTACTGTGCTGGCTACGAATCATGCTTTTTAATATACATTACTGTTATTTCAAGGTTTTGACAAACGCCAGGTTTGCCTTATAAGTGAAGAAGTTACAATAGCTTACGCGGTACCAGCAACTAGTATGTCATGTAAATTCACTGTTTTATCAAAACATTTACATTCAGACAACTCTTTGTCAACTAACATGGCCGCCATATGGCTAACGCCTGAGCTGTAAACCAGAAATAGTTGACAAACTTGACAAGTCCTGTATCAACTTACTATGAACATTTATTGATACTCACAAACAAAACTACGAGAATCAAAAGAAGGATGAAGGAAATGACTCCGGCTATGATCAAAACCAGGATCCAGGTTGCAAGCTTCGATGAAGAAGAATCTGTTAAAAAGAACATCTTCTCTTGGTATATCTTCAAAATTTAACACTTTCTATCCATTCACTTCAAGCCAAAACATTCCTTTGTGATTCATTTAAGACAAAAGTCCAACCATAATAAAAGTAAACACGTCAAACACCTAAGGAGACTGAACACCATAAACCTTCTATCAGAAGGTGCCTTTATCTGCTGCACCCATGATCCTAAAATTTCGATCCATTATTTTATGTTTCTGACAATTTGTAACTATAAAGGGCTGCTATAGCACAACTCTATAGCTAGAAAGGAATGCAAATTTTTAAGCATCAAAACAAAATAATGACACTTTCAAGTTTTCAAGCATCGAAACAATTGACCTGTAGCCGGATACCTGTCTAACCTGCCCGCAAGCTTCACTAGCTCTCGACTGGCCGAAGAAAGTGGGGTAAAATTTATGAAGTTGCTTGAAAGAAAGAGGCGGTTTTAAGGTATAGGTTTCCAGGGCCATACCGTGTTGGGTCGAACCTTAATGACATTTTAAGCAACTAGAAACTGATTTCAAACCTTCTTCAGTTGTTTCAAGGGTTTCCACTTTCTCTGGGTTTCCACTGGCAAATGTAATCTTGTCCAAAATTTCAAATTGCAAGTCTTTTGTACCATTGCCTCTTTCCAGTGCTTGGATAATACTAGTTTTTGTAACATTCGCTGTTGGCTCAAAATATATATCGAAGTTTGTCACTAAACTCCCAGGGGAAAATCTTGAGAAGATTACTTGAAGGAAGTCCTGAAATGTTTTGTTAAAGAAAGGTGTGAATATGTCGGTTAGGTCTGCGATGATGGCACGAGTCGTTGGTTTGGTTAGGTCAGCAAAGTCGGATATATATTGTCTGCTTCTCAACGTCATTATGACAGAGAATGTTATAGATGGCTTCTCTATAAAAAAAAAAGAAAAAGTAGAGAAAAGAAAAGAAAAATAATTAACTTCCTAGTTGTTTCCAACGACGAGCTAAGAAGCGAGGTTGCCTCGGCGGCAGAATTATAACGCCGCGCATCCCTCTAAAATTTGCATTTTTGACCATATTTGGGTGTAAGTAAGACATCATGGTCTTTTATTTACAACTCGTCGTCCGAAATTGACCACTCCAGAAAATATCATAACATACCATAATGCTCTTTGTTTGTCCCCCCCAAATTTTGCATAAGCATTGTCCCACGTTCAGTTTCTCTTGGGGGTTAAAATGTCCCCAAGAGAAACTGAAAACAATGCTAATTCAAATTTTTGGGGTGAAAAACAAAGAGCATTATGGTATGTCATGGTATTTTCTGGAGTGGTCAATTGTGTGATTCAGTGTGCAGCTTTTTGTTGTCTGTTCAAGAGTACCTAACAGGTGAGCAAGCTTTAATACGATTTCTAGTTTGAAAGGGCAATTAGTGCCCTGGTTTGCTTTATAAATTGCGTTTAAAGCAGCAGCTGATCAAGGAATAGGGTTTTACGCTCAAATATTTGTCAGAACCAGCTTGTTCTTTGCAGCTTCATTTACATTGACGTAGCGTGTTCGCTTTTCGACTCAGAACCAGGGTTTCCAGTGTTCTCTTTTCCTTTGTGAATTGAATTTTAAGCGGCAGTTGATCAAGGCATAGGGTTATATTCTGAAAACTTTTATCAGAACCAGCGTGTTCTTCCCAGGTCGATTTACATTGAACCAGTCCTCAGCTCCCGTGAGGAATGCAACGTATTTGCGGACCTTTTATTTTTTTAGAATTTATCTATGTCTTTCGAGAGATTTTGTCAACCAGCATGTTTTTTTGCTGCTCGATTTACATTGAGACAACCAAAAACTCCCGGGAGGAAAGCATCGAATTAGCGGACCTTTTGTTTTGAAGAATATTATTATGCCTTTCAAGAGACTCTTTGTCCTGTGACACTCGTTCTTTGTATTTTATTCAAGTTTATATTTTTATACCTCTGATTCATTCCGCCCTATTCCTATGCTTTTCACACATTTTACTTTACACCAATTTTTTCTTGTGTATATTACCACGCGAAATATTTGTCTCATCCCTGATGACGCTGTTGCTCGGAATTTAATCATTATTTTTAATTTCAGCAGTCGAAGGCCTCACTTAAACTATATTTTACTTTCTAACGTTTGCAGTTTTGATACAATGGAATTTTTCAAGAAACATAAGTGCTAACTTGCTCGTATTTACCAACAAAGCTCCAAGCCATGTTGTGATTGTTTAATAGAAGTGAAAGGCTAGAATGTGCCAAAGTTGTTGTTTTGAAGTTGGGTGCCATTCTTTTCTTTTGCGGAATCCATTTTAAACCTCTAAAATTATGAAAAAAATATCGCGAAGATCTGAATGGGCATATTCCACAAAAGATAAACGAATTCGCCTCGTTGGCACTTGCTGGAAGGTACCCCTAGTTGTAGATACTAAAGAATGAGAAGATTGAAATAGGCTATCACTGCAAATAATAGACGAATCTAAAACCTAACTTCTAATCTATAAAAACGCTTGATTTTAAAGACGTACTTACTTGATTCGCATCTTTCTCCTTCATACGCTGCAGTACAGTTACATTTCAACAAGTCTCTCTCATGATAGCAAGTCCCGCCGTTTTTACACTGTTCAGGAAAACATTTATCAGCATCTAAAAATAAAATAATCGGAGCAAACGTGTTGTCACCAGGTATAATCATATTTAACGTGACTCTGAGCACCTCCTCGCATATTGCAAGGTTGTTAAAACGGTAAAACTGTGCCCATAGTTGACTGTAAATTCAAAATAAGCGACTGTAGCATTATCAAAACAATTCATTCTATTTACAATGGCTATTAAAGGTGGAAATTAAAGTCGTAAAACAGGTGTTATAGTTTATGTTGGAAGCTTTCTGACTTTGCATAACTATATATTGGTTCAGTTGAAACTGACTGGATGCGTCCTCTTGGTCAGCGTATCCATTCACAAAGTTGGAATACGATGAATAAAATGTTATGAATAAAGAGCCATGAAAAACTTGTCGGGATCCATAGCCATTGCAACTGAATTAAAACAGTATTAAACGGTATTGGGTAGCAGGACTGACACATGTAGATAGTGTTGAAACTGATATCAGCAACCTTAAATGACTATTTAAAAGCAGTCTGTTCTTCTTTACCTATTTCGCAATTGATTCCAAAGAAGCCATGGAAACAAAAACAGAAGTAGCCATTCACACGGTCACTACAGTTACCATTGCCAGAACAATTAACGCTAATGCAATCATCTATATCTGTAAAACGAAAAGATTGTCATTTATCTGGGAGTTCATGATAATTGGTGCGACAGCCATTTTATTAAAAAGGGGACGGACTGTAACGATTTTTGCTCTTTCAAATATCTAACTATTGTCGTAACCGATCATCTGATCATGCTTTGAGTGCTTGCAATGAGAAAAATGGGGCTCAATTCATACTTCTAAGAAAAGTGTGTCTTGAGAATTAACACATAAAGAAAACTATTCTCTCCTAGCAGTATACAGAGAGGGAAGCTCCACACAATATACCGCGCAGCATTTAAAACCTTAACTAAGCGACCTCTAAGGGTAAGATAGAAAACTTTTGTTGTTGCTCCTGTAGAGCAAAGTTACTCGCCACATATCTAGTGGACGAACGATGCAATTTAATCTGAAATCATTATTGCGGAACAGAGAAACTAAAACACGTGACCACGCATAGTATCACACAATTTCTCTCACGCTAGAAATTTTCGTTTGGCAAGGAATTTAGTTGGAAACAAGAAAAACTTGAAAGAGAGATATTTGATTTGTTTACTCATCTACAAAAAATGTTGATGAGATTTCACTTGCGCTAATAACAATCCTTATTTGCAAATGCAGAAAGTCGGGCAAGCTCCAAATCGAGACCCTTTTTTGCTATATTTACTTTTTTTTTTGTTTTCTTTTCTTTGCAAACTTAGATATCAAGATACTTACTAACAGAGCAGTTATTTCCAGTAAACCTAGTCGAACAAGGCTGATCACCCGTAGACACTGTAAAAAAGAAAACGGTTATTAACGACTTAATGCATGGTCTTTCCTTATCGGTACTCTCCAACTTTTGTGCCAATTCCATCCATTTCCTTCAGAAATTCATAAGAGCCTCTTTCTCTCAAAAACTGTTCATTTTTCAGATCTACTATGTTGTTTGATTCCAGGCATTATCTCGCTCTGCCTAATTGTTAGGGGGAACTTCACAAAAGCACGGCGGTGTGTTAGGTTGGCTCTGTTTTTTAACTGACATGAAATACC